CGAAAGAAAGAAGTTGTTTTAGTCATGTAGCATATTTTCCGTGGTGTTATGTCCAAATTCTTGAAATTGTATGCGGAAATAACACTCCTGTAGTCTTTGGTGTCGTATTTCTCGTAAGCTTATCTTCGAGTTTGAGTGCGCGCGAAGGGGAGAACCATCCACTTCCAGTTCCATCTACGCAGCTGGCATCTGAGCCTAGGGCCGGAGGAAGTCGTGATGCGATTGGAACCTTAGCTGTGAAATCAGGCGTTTCTCCAGTTTCAGGCGAATACACCGGTCTGAACGATGGTCATGTGTCGGTCGCGACAAGCTTCTCAGGATACACATATCGTCAGTACGACTCCACTACTCGCTACTGTGAATACTACTGTGAATGCTAATTCCCACTAAAAACAGTGGGACAGTACTTTGACAACATGTACAAAAGTGGTACGCTGACAAGGATGATCTACGTAGTGATGGGAATAACATCAATAGTGGTTATCTACTTTGTTATTCGAGCTGTGAGGTTAGTTTTTCTACATTAACTATTATTTCGGTCAATAACTTTATGGCGTCCTTCTCACCTACCCTACCTGAACCTAGACTTAACCCTACGCCTAACCTAACCTAACTACCTAACCCTAACCTTGATTGATATATATTAATATTTATATTGATGTAATTGCTTGGTTTATTGGCAGTTAGGGTTAGGGTTAGCTGGTTCTTAGAGGTTGTGGTTTGGGTTAGAGGACGTGATAATAGTGGTATTTGCCCATTATTTCTATTATTAGTACGGGTAACTATATAATCGGGGCCCGTAGATAGCAGGGGGCCCCCCGGTGTTCCGTTTCCACCCGCCAGAAAAGTAAGCTTCTGTCATTGGGGAAACTCCCAGAACAACCCATGCTGTCTTTGCAATAATAGTACCCCTGTAATCTGAAAGCAGTTGCCTATTGTTAATCAGGGCGGCGCGTGAGCGGGGGGCGGGGGGACGGCCCCCCCCCCACTTTTTTTGCCAGAAATATATGTCTACTTATTGTGTTATTGTGTTTATTTTGAGGTCGGGAGGAGGGGAGGGAAATGCAACAAAGAAAGAGAATAGAGGAGAGAGAGGGGGGAAGAGCGAAGGGGTGTTTATCCCATTTTCATTGCTCTGAAAATACAAGTTTGACCGAATCCTCTAGGCTTTGTTCTCTTATTAGCCACAGAATTTCCCCGCGCCCGTATTTGCTCATACCGTGCGGAGTTCGGGCGTGATCCTGTTTTCGTAGGCTCGCTCGAGGTCGTAATATCAGTACCGTATTGCTATGACGACCTTGTAATTTACTGACTACGCCGCTTAGCCCACTAGGCATGGGTGTGAACTGCGGCGGCTAGCTGTGGCGACAGCCGCTTGCGTTTGTCAGAGCCATCTTTTTCGTAACAAATGTTCATAATTTGATACGGTTTTTTTGGCTCGGTAAATTTCATCAGAGTAAGAAATTATAGGGTATATAGTACTCATAAGTAGTATATATATAGGTATATATTATATAGGTAATATAATAGATAGTTCCTATATTAATCTTTCCTGAGTATTCATGTATATAGTGTATCTAGGCCTATAGCGGAGCCAGGGTCGATGAAGGTTCAGACGTACCCGTAGCTATTAAACTTTTATGACCAGAACCTCTGCATACATTCTTGCTTCCGTTTATCTCGTTCTATGCAGGCAGCATTGCCGTTGCGTTTATATTTTGAGGGAAGCGATGGCTTGTCCGGGGTGCAGCGTCGTACGGGCCGGTATTCTGTGGGTATTTCTGGAATGTGGGCGGTGGTGGGGGGGCCCCCCCCACCCCGCAAGGATACTGTCCAGAGATCGTCGGCCTTATTAGCCATAATGATGTCGGTACAAAGGATGTCTGAGACAAATTTTTCTTCTGCCAATCATGGGATTTTACATACCAACAAAAGTGACAATATGATTTAATTACAGAAAAATGTGCGGAATGCGGTTTTTTAGGAGTTATTTCATTTTCTTTCAACTCGGAGGGGGGGGACCACCCCTCCGAGCACCCGGTCCCGCTCCTCCGCTGCCCAGTCCCCGCTACGCGCTGCACTTACGCGCTGCACTAGCTATCCGAGCGATCGCAGTCCACTAAACGGGGTAATCGTGGGCTGGGGAGGATGCCATCTCCCTTCTTGAGGAGGGGGGCGATGGCCTGTACATTATCCCCCCCTGAGATTCAAAAAGAGAGAAAAAAGTAAAGAAGAAGTAAGACAAGGGAGGTAAGGAGGATCGATTACACTTACAGGGTTTATTCGCGTGGCGTTTTAGGTGGCTTACAGTTCCCAATGAGGCTCCACAAGTCGGCGATTTCGTAGATTGGCGCAGAATTGGATTGACACGCAACATATTATGTTATAGACTTGGTTGTTTCATGTGAGATTTAAGAAATTTTCACGTTTTTACTGCATCTACTTCTAGCTATCAAAGCAGCTTTTTATAATAGCTAGTGTAGGCCTTGCACGTTTGTGACTGTGCTGTAGTGGTACGTAGTATGGATAAGGTAGTTGGATTCATAAACAACAGACCAGCACAACGCAATTCTATCTCTCACGACGCACACGCACGCACGCACGCACCGCAGCGGAGAACAAACACACAAAACCACACACGACGCACAGACATCACGCCACAGCTCTCTCTTCTCTATTCTCTTCCTCTCTCTCTCCAACCACCACGCGACGCGCGACAACTTCTCTGTTGTCTCTCGCCGCTCTCTACCTTTGATCTTCCTCTCTGCTCTCTCTCTCTGTGTTCTCTCTCTCTCTTTCTCTCTTCTTCTCTTTCTTCTGCGTACTCTTCCGCTCGCCGCTCTCTCTCTTTCTCCTCTCTCTTCTCTCTCTCTCTTCTCCTCCCTCGTCTTCTCTCTCTCGCTACGCGCTCTTCTCTCTCTGCTCTTCTCTCTCCTTTCTTCTCTTCTCTTTCCTCATCCTCACTCCCTCCCTCTCTCTCTTCTCTCTCTTCTCTCGTCCTCTCTTTTCTGTCATACCACACAAGAGTAACCCTTTCTCTCCTTCTCTCTACACCAAACGCACGAACCGCTTCCTATCTCTCTCTGACACATACACCTCCCTACGCAAAGGTTTACGTATTTTTAGCTTGTGAATGCACCTAACCGGCCCTCGACTTTGCGTACTGCGAAATCGCATACTAATACCTATATAGATATTATAAATAATCTGCTGATAATCGCAATAGCATAGGTCTGATTTGCGTACGCCACAAGATTTACCGCAGAATATTTGCGTACGCCGCTTGGATGAATCTGATCCCCGACCCCCACCGTGCCAGTGAAGCGGAACCCCGGTATCCCCAGTGGTTCTAAGTTTTCAGGGCGTGTACAGGGGGGGGGGGGTTCAGGTTCCGGAACCTCTATTCTTCGCGCCCCCAGAAGATCTGTGAATGAATTTCAAAAATTTCTGGTGGGAGAGCCCCCCGACCCCCCCACCCTGCTCTCCTAAACCCTTTTTCGAATCTGCGTTCGCACTGAAGCGCCGGCTATTTTATTGTTCGAGAACTTGCGCACAGGCTTAAGTTACGGCGCCAGTACGCGAGGCCTATCGACGCTGATAAGCGAGCCGGTATATCCGGACGTCAGGGTACGTTTCGGCCAGTACCTGGGGGAACATAGACCCTATGAGAGGTTGTTTTATGTATAATTATTTTATATAGTCCTCTCTCTCTTTTCTAGTATATATATTTTGCACTTTAGTTCTTTAGTCTTTTTAATTTAATAAATTAGTGATGTATTTCCTTTTTATATGTAATATTGCGCTTGGGTAAGGCAAAACTGGTGTCAGCACATGAAGATAACTAAAGCTCACGCTCGTCGAGTTGAGGTGTGTCTATAAGCTCGCTCGTAAGTTTTCGGTGTTCACTATCTCGTTGACTATTACAGGTTGAGAGAACATGGAATTCTGTACGCCGTGTTCAAAGTAGATTCCTCTCTTCTTTCTTTATTGCTCTCTACTATTATTATTTGATGCAATAATTTCACTATAGTGCTGACATAGATGTACTCAAAGGTGTTAATTTCCCGTTCTTTTTCCATTCTCACTGAAATTTTACTTCGATGGTGCACCAGTATCGTCCGTTTCGTGCAAAATTTGAAAATGCTCACTGCGTGGGATGGGGATTTCCCGGCCACATCCCCACGATCGGTGCTGCTCCCCTCCGCTCCGCGGCGACTTTCGCGCCCATAAAAAATAACTCAGCCCCCCGGCATGGTCGCTTCATCCTCTCAATTGGGCCCCCCCACTTTGAAAACCGTGGCGCCGCCCCTGGTAATGTAGCATTTCGGAAAAATACAATTGTGTGCATAGTTTTGCCTGTTGTCATTTCATGTTATACATGCAGTTTTTCTTTAATTGGTTTCAAATAAATTTAATTAAATGACACAATTAAGACTTTCTTGTGCGCATGCACTACTAATTGCATATCCGTGATAGTACACTCTTGTTGTTTTTCTGGCAGGGTGAGAACAAGGAAGAGCAAAACTAAGAAGTATGGAATCCTGCAGACGGCTGACACTGACCTGGAAATGACACCATTAGATGTAGGCGATGAGGAAGAGGATATGACTGTGTTTGAACTACCTAGCAACCGTAAATAGCAGGATGTGTCATGTGTGCTGCTCCTTGTTGTACGAATATGCTAAGTAAGGTGTTTCTAAAATGTTCTTTTTTTCCAAATTGAAGCTTAATTTTGCCATATGGATCATTCACATTTCACAGCTGTCATTATTTTGGTATGGCTGCAACATCTGCAGTTATTTTTTGTGACACTTCTTGGACTGAGCAATTCTTCCATTCCAACTAGTTGAACTCTAAGTTGTCAGCAGTTACTTTATCTATAAAATTGTACATTATATAATTATATTAGTAACTTTAAAAAGGTCATTCGTAATCTAGAAGTCATGCATTTCACACGTGTTATGTAAGTGAGTGACTAAGGGTGGTGACTGTAGCATTTCAATAATGCATATTATTGATGACCAGATTTCATTCCTGAAAAAATTGGTGAAGAATCAATTGGTGCAGCTAATGGTAAGGCTATACGCTTGCCCACTGAACAGGCATACACTGTATAGCTATTTTGAAGATAGTATTAGATTGCATTGGGACCATGGCTCTGGATTTGTGTTTCCTTGTATATCTATCAGCATATCTCTGTTAAATGCTCTGTTCCATTGTAAAAAAATTTGCTGATATTTGTGTTAAATATTCCGTTAGTGAAGTGTACAAGAAAACACAGTGGTACTGCAGACTGGAATGTCACGGGCTTTCCTTTTCCCTGTTTAAAAAAATGGTGAGCTTAAGTATGTCACTTGTAAGAAGCATATATGTAGCATTGTTTAAGTTCTCAGGACAAGGTACTAGTCTCATTTAAAAAAGCAGCCAGTCTGCTTGCTGCTGATTAATTGAACAGCCAAATATGAACGTTTTCCAGTGGTAGTATGGATTAAATACTTGATGAACTTATATTGAAGTATTTTAAATGACATGGAAGATTTAGTTTTTGGACTGAGGAATGAAGTGAGTGTTAGGGGAGTGTGTTGGGGTTGATATATTCAGATAGGTGAGTCTCTGCCTGCTGAAAAGGGATGACCGTTACACGTAGTGCGTTAGTGTTACTTGTTATTGTTGCTACAGCCAGCCAGCTGTGCAAAGAAGTGTGGTTGACAATCGCATACTAATATTCATATTTATACTTTACCCTGCCACCTGGGGGCAGCACGATCCAATTGAAATATTGGAAAGCGTGGAAAAACATACGTGCGTGTATCAGGGGCGTAAATCCCGGGGGGGAAGGGGGGA